GTCAGGTGAGGATTATGGCCATAGGATTTTCATTTTCCCTACACCGGGATTTGTTTAAAATAATTTAGAAAAGAGGAATGAAATCTGAGGAGGATATAAATGAAATGAGATGGGCTCTGAGTTAATAATTATTGTGCTAGGTGATGTGTACATTGGAATCCATTATTCTCTCTACTTTTATATATGTTTGAAGTTTTCCACAATAAAATAAAAAGTTTGAATAAGTGTTATTTGACCACCAGGCTGATAATGTTTATTATGGGGTACCTTGTAAAAAGAAACAAGTCATCTATTAGAAATATATTCTTAAATATGTAACTTAATACTTCAAAGCTTAGACATCTATCTAAATTTTTTGCTTATGCTACTTGTGTCAGGCTTGAAATAAGACAGACTTCAGGATGAATTCTCACTGTTATTTATTGGTTATATGGACTTCAGCAAATCATTTAATTCTCTTAACTTCATTTAATTCTCTCTTAATTTCAGTTATCCCACAGTACCTGCAAAACAGCTGTTAAGTAAGCAATGTGTAACATTCCATCAGTAGTCTGAGCACCACACTTTGATAAACACCATGTTACACTCATAATATTCAACACCAAACAGGAAGTTTGATATTTCTTAGCTTAGCATGCTTACACTCCCATTAAATCTAAAACATATTTTGAAAACACTGGATAACTGTATTACTAAATAATAAATAACTGAGTAACACGTGGTTCTAAAAGACAACTGAAGAATATTTTGCATAAAGCCTAATGATTCTAGGGGGAAAAAGAAATCTACTCAAAACAAAAGTCAAGTCTTGGTTACATAGCAAAAATGTTTTCCAGATTTCAAAAATCACTGATTAGTATGCCAAATGTTTTCTCCTTAAATGTCAGTCTCTTACCTCAAAATACTGGCAAATTCTTTCTAAAAGAGGAATCTATATTTTAAAATTGTGTTTCTTTCTCTTACATCTTTAAATACTAAAAAGAATAGACTAAAAGCCTTTTATGAACCACTTAGCAAATTTGCTTTTTCGTGTTTATGAAGATATTAGTAGAAGTAAATGTGCTTTCTGATGGAATATATGACTTTAGTTGTACTTTGTATCCACTCTTCATAATATCAAAATAACATCATGATGTGGCTAAATGATTAGATTACTGTATAAAAGCCATCAATTGCTATCAGAAAAGAGGCAATGAGAGAACAGCCCAATAACCCATGATTTATGCTCTTCTAGGACTGCTTCAGGAGTTATCAAAGAATATTAAGTTTAGCCTTTTCTAGAAATCTGCAAAACAGATGTAAGATTGCTTGTGTGGTTCCAATGACTTGACAGAAAAGCTTCAAATGCCTCTCTATTTTGCATCAAATACTCTATTACAGTGATATTCATATGAGAATTAATAGTGGTAATTTGTGATATTCAATCAAACAGATCGAACAGATTACTTGCTCTTTACTCCACAGATTTTCTTCTGAAACATAGTTGTCAGATAATAACCAGGCCACATTACTTCATATTTCATCACATTTAAACTTCAAAAATTTATATTTTCTCTATTGCTAAATTCTCAGAAGACAAACTGTTAGTTCCCAAAAGTAATATCTAAGTCATGAACTAAGCCAATTTCTGTAAGTATGACATGTAAAATGAAGAGGTTGGTTCCTAACCACAATATTAAGGCAAGATTTATTTTTTCAACTTATAACTGAGTATCATAGCACAACTAATTTACAAAGTTATCAATTACAACTATGCTGTCATTTTAAAAAGATACTTAAGCTCATATAGGAATTATATTAGTATACTCTACAGTACAAGCATCTACTGACAAATTACCAAAGAAGTATCAATAAACTTATATTCAACTTTTTAAGTGCCTCAAAGTTTAGACAGATGTTATCCTATTTTTCTCAGAGCAGCTGTTCATTTGGACATGTTTCTTATTTATTGATATACTGTGTTCAATGCTAGGGTCACATTTCTCAAACAGGAACTTGGCAACTTCCAAATTCTATGGTAAATATTGACATATCTCAGCATGTCAATATTCATACTGTTAGGACTTTGATGAGTATCTTCAACAATGGCTGCATCTTATTTCTTAGCAGCCATTTGTTTCAGTTACAATTGAACAAGGTCTTTAATAAAATTCTCATTAACTGTTCAGATAAAACTACAAGTAAGTAACAGCATCCTCTCACACAAAGACAGATTGAGCTCCTTGCTTACTTCAACATTTTGGTCACTTCTACAGGGTTACTATAGCTCAGGGACACAAGGCCCAAATTTAGGAGTGTCCTCCAACTATTACTTGTTTTTGATTATTTAATCAATCCTAAATCTAATCATCATTTTCAGACCCACTGCTGGAGCTGAAAGCCACTGAAGCGTTTTCAGAAATTATAGTCAAATTATTTCTTTTTTGTTATCAGTGAAGGATAGGCAAAGTTCCAAAAGATTGGTTTACAGACTGCAACAATGATGATGACATTCAGAGAACAGTTTGAATTCAGAATGTCTCCCATAAAAGGTAGTTGGAAAGTCTGGCTTATTAAATAAGATTAAACAACGTTTTAAATGCAAAATTTGTTTATAAGTTGTTGTGCCAAGTATCAGAAATTATGTCAACAAAGTAATCATCATTAACTCAACCTTAAGAGCAAATTTCCTTATCTTTGGGAGAAAATCTTTGTGATGTCTTGGAAACACCCTAGGATTTCCCAGTGACACACCAGCAAAAGTTTAAAGTTACTGCTCGTACTGGCATTTAGCAAAAACATGAATGCCTCATGAGCAGCTTGGAATTTTAGCATGGATGTCTTCTTACAGGCAACAGAAGTATCAACAGTGTTTTTCTCTCAAAAAGAGCCCAATTTAATCAACATTAAAAATTTTCTGACTATAATAACCCTCTGTTCATTGCTCTCCACCAGTGTCTTAGAAAAATGCACACAACTCAAGTTCTCATCAGCTCTGGCAGCTTCACAAATGACAAGGGCAAACTGCCCAGGGCTATAATATGCATCTACTACCTCCTACTTGTATAAAAAGAACTATCCTTCTATTTTTCTTAAGACAGCTAACTTTTTCCTAGAAAACAATGCATAGCAAATATAGAACTGATTTTATATGCAGAAGATCCACCTTGAAATAAAACCTCTACCATTTCATAGCTGAGTGACTTTTGGTCATGACATCAATGCATTAAAATGTTCACTGACTACTTTCTAGGCACCAGGCCTTGATATCCTAAAGATGAGCAAGACATTCCCAGCTTTCTAGTGAGATAGACACACGCAAACAGAATTATTTTACAAGCTTGCAAAGTGCAGAAGCAGATGGAAGCTCATCTGAAAAGCAGCATGCAAGCCAACCCGACATTTCAGGGAAGGCTTCCCTGCGTTACATCTGATATGAATCTTAAAAGGTGAAAACAGTTTAGGTGTGGAAGTAAAAAGATAAGAGAAGGCGTTCCAGGAAGAAGAATCTTCATGAGCAAAGGCTTGGAGGCAAGAAGCATGACATATGGAAATGATAAACAATTTCAGACTTACTGAAAATCAAGGATTACATACAAATCCAAAAACCCAGTCAAGCATTCATTCAACCAAAGCATACTGTGTACTTCTGGGTCTCAGACTATCTATTAGAACTTAGCATCAGGGAACAGGAGAGATAAAAATTCCTGCCTTTGTAGAATTTACACTTTAATAGGAGATGAACAATTAAAAATACACATAAGTATGTAAAATACATATACAGTTTGGTGGTAAGAAGTGCTACAGTAAAAGGAGAAGATAAAACACAGTAGAGAAAACCAGTAGTGCAGAAGCCATTTGAGAGGAGCAGTGGAAGGCAGACAGTTGTAAAGCTGCAATTTTAAATAGGAGGCTGAAGTAGGCTTTATTGAAAAGTAACAAAGCAAACACATATAGGAAGTGAAGAAATGAGTTGTGTGGATTTTTAGAAAAAAGAATTCCAAGTAGATAAAGCAGCCAGTGCAAAGGCCCTAAGGTAGAAGTGGGCCTGCTTTGTTTAAGAAAACAAGGCAGCCAATACAGCTGGAACAGAGTGAGCAGGAAGAGAATACAAAAGGATTAGGTCAGAAAGGTAATGGGAAACCAGATCACGTAGAGTCTTGTAGGGCCAATATACCGACACTGGCTTTTACCATGAGTCAAATGAGAAGTCATGGAAGGTTTTTAACTGAAGAAGTAATGTTACATTCCTCTGCAATAAATACGTTATTTTGGAATAATTCTGAGTTTACAGAAAAGTTTTCCAGGTAATGCGCAGTTCCCATATACTCCTCATCCAGTTTCCTCTAATATTAATGTCTTATATTATCAATGGTGAATTTATCAAAATGAAAAAACCAACATGGCTGCATTCCTATTAACTCCAGACTACTTGGATTTTATTAGTTTTTCCACTAATATATTTTGTCTCTTCCAGGATCCAATCTAGAATAGCACATTACATTTAGAACCTTACATTTTAATACAATTGTTTTACTTACAGTTTTAAAATATCGAGAATATTGTAGAGAGGCAAGGTTAAAGAAAGCAGGGGGACCTATTAATGTAAGCCAAGCAAGAAATGTCTTAGTGGCTCATAACAGACATCCAAGCAAGAGATAGTGTACTAACAGCAGAAATAGTTTAAAGAGTGGCCAAATTCTCGATACATTTTAGAGAGAGTCAAAATGATTTGCTGTTCCATTTGATGGAATATAAGAGAAATGAGAATCAGGGACCACTCCAAATATTGAATCTTGAGCAACTGGCTGTATAGGGTTACCATCAATAAAGATGGAAAAGAATGGGACAAGTCTGGGGGAAAAGGAGTTCAGTTTGTGACATGTGAATTTCAGATACCTTTAAACAAACAAGTGGAGGAGATGTAGAGGTAGACAACTGGATATGTAAGTCTGGAATTCAGAAAGGGGACTAGGAATATGAATTTGGGAGTCTTCAGTAATAAAGTCATTAAGACTTACCGTTATCATCAAAATGAAGTGTAGAAAGAGGAAAATCAGAAAACCAAATATTAAGCCCTAGAACACTTCAACAATAAGCGATCAGGAAGAACATAAAGAAGACTGAGAAGGTCCAACCAATGAAATAAAAGGAAAACCAAGAGTGTGGTGTCCTGGAAATCACGGGAGGAAAATACATCATGGAGAAGGGAGTAGTAATCAACTGGTGCAAGGGTTACTGATAGGTCAAACACGTTAATAATGGAGAATGATCCACACTGGCAACACTAACAGGAGAATTTCGGGAGAGAAGGAGAGCAATAGCCATGTTGGAATGATCTCAAGAGAATAGAAAAAGAGGAATTGCGATTTGGAGCACAGAGACGTCCTTGAGAGAATTTCTATTCCAAAGAGCAAATAAATAGGGTTAGAAGTGGAGAAAGGATAAGAGAAGCATTTCTTAAGGTAAAAGAATAATATGAAGGTCTAACAACTTACATGGGTCTTAAAAGTTAAAAGGCCTGGGGAAAGAGAACAAAAAAGAGGAAACAAAAAAGGGCCGACACAAACACTAAAACACCAAGAACCTCAAGCTCAGAGTATGGAAGGCTAGCAGAAGCCCAGAGAAAATAAACAGTTAAGCAAAGGTATTTTCTTCTACAAGTGAAAATTAGTGAATGAAAAAAAGGGAAATCATAAAAGGAAACCATCAACACTATCAATATTAGCTACTAGTAAAAAGAGAAAAAGAGGAGAAAGAGGTCTGGTGGTTAAAAAGCAATACCAATTTAGTTCAAAACCTTTTATTGAGTCCTCAAGAACTATGCAAACCGAACACGCCCAAACCTGTTTCTCCATTAGAATATGCTTAGACAAAGGGGCGGGGGCGGGGGGCCGTGTTAGAGCCTCATCTAACAGGGTTATTAAAGGTAGAAAAAGCTAAATAATAATCGTATTGATTAAAAGAAAGTTGGCATTAGATCTGTCTTGCTGGTGGATCACTGCTCCAGAGGATCTATCAACTACTGAACTCAGGATAGGGCAGTTCCTTTCCATTTGTTACCACAGAAAGTTCTTTCCTGACCTCAAAGAGGCTAGTACTTTTTAACCCCAGATGAAACCCACCGACAGTTTACAAAAAGCTGGGGACTGGAAAAGAAATCTGGACAGTAATAAAAGAAATGATCCAACAAGCTAATCAACACAACTCTCCGTATACACGAGCCCTCCTAATTCCACAACCATTACAAAGAATTTCAAACGCTCTTTGCATTCCAAAGAATCCTGCAGGGACAAAGGGAAAAACCGCACACGGGGCCCAGCGGGTGCACGCCCTGTGGATTGGGCCAGTGAACCCGGCGTCCCGAGAGCCCACAAACGGACGACCCAGGCGCTTACACATAGAGGGGAAAACGAGCCAGGAAAAAGTCTCGCACTGAGGAGGGCTAGCAGGAAAACACTGGTAACTAAAAAAGAAAGAAAGAAAGGAAAACAGAAAGAGAAAAAGAAGAGGACTACAGATTACCATATTACTTAAAGAGGCAGTCCCGACTTCCGGACCCTACCTCTCAGTGACTCCACTTCCGGTCTCCTCCGAAAGGCCGGCGCCCACACACGGACGTCCTTCAGCCAATGAGAGTACCACCTGCTTTCGCAGGGCCGCTGACGTGCTTGAATCCAGCCTTTTCCGGTAGAGGGACGCCTATCCTAGAGTCTGAGTAGCGCAGCTCAGGAGGCGGTTCCCTGATTGGCCCAACCAGACGACGGGAGGGGGCAAGAAGAGCAGGCGGGGTGTGCACGCCTCTTCCGCCCTGGTCCCGGAAGGGTGATGTGGCTGGGGCTCCTCCGGCCTCACTATGGTAAGAACCTGGGTTGTGGGTTGGGGGCCGAACTTTGCGAAGGGGCTGTGGGCCCGAACTAGGGCTGAAGGGTTGGGCGGCAGTCCTGGGTGCTCGGGCTGTGGAGCACTGTCACTAACTTGATTCTCCCGGGCTCAGAGGATGCGCAGGTTCGGAGCCATGTGGCCCCTGCACGCACACCCTGGGAGAGCAAGAGCCGAGGGTCGTGGAGCCCAGCCCTTCCCTCGCCACGCTCCTGACTGGTTGCGAAGAAATCCGCTGGTTTTGCTTTACTCGGCGGTTACGTAGACATTTATAGTCATTGACCTTTGAGGCATTAGAGTTTGATGAGTTTGCGCTCGTTACTTTGCGTGTCCTTATCACTACGGGCCTGACCAAGTGTGTAAATTATTGTCAAAACCCAAACTCTACGCCTTAATTTTCACCTCTTGAATTAGTGGTATTTCAGGCCTCTCTTACTGCATTCTCTGAACTTTAAAGATGCTCGCTTACAAATTATGGATTTTTATAATTGCAATTCTCTGCAAAGGTTGGGGCTTTTGTTACTTGGAGTGGTGTCTGGCTTCTGGCTCTCCTCTCCTCCCCACACGTTATTAAGGGCCTGCGTCTTACTCCAGATTTCTTTGGTAGTTTGGGCTTGTTAGAAAAGCTTAAAATAAGTCATAAAAGTTAACAAAAGAAATGCTTAATTCTCCGTGGTAAAGAAAAAGAGGTAAAGCCAGCATGGCTATACAACAGATGCAGCCTAGCAGTCAGTAAGAGATCTGAGAGCATTTTGCCTTTGTTAGGGTAAAGGCTAACAGACTGTACACCAGGTCTTCATGGTGAGTTTATGAAGTCCACGTGCCAAAAGTTGCATTTATAAGCGTTTTTCTTGGGAAGGGGTGCATTCCTTTTTATTACAGTATCAAAAGCAACTGTGACCCCCAAAAAGCTATTCGGTCATGAAAAGCTGAACTTGTGTTCCTAGAAGTTTGTGCAGAATCCTATGCAACACACAAAACCTTTAGACATTTAATCCAAAACTCATTAATTGTTGCTTGCATTATGCCACCTGCTTTGATTATAGCTTGGACATAAGTCACAGTCTGTCCCTGGAGAAGTTTACAGCTTAGAAGACAGCAGGTTAATGTTCCTTATCCAAGAATACTCTCCAGCTTCTCTCCCCATCCACCAAGTGACAGGATGGATCCACTTACTCTTAAAGGGTGTCTTTAGCCGTTTTACAACTTAGAAAATTTTTCCTCTTTCAGTTTAAAAAAAGTAGATTGTTACTCTTTTAATTCTTGTATAACTTACTAGAAGTTGAACTTAATTGTACTCATAGTACAAGTCAAAGGTAGATTCTTTTGATGATCTCACTGTCTTAGGTTCTAGCTAACAGCAAAATGGGTACCATGTTTAAGATCAGTATTTAAATTGTCTGGCTATACTTGTTTTTTTCAAAAGTTACAATAATAAGCTTTCATTTATTAGCACTCCCTCTATGACAGACTGTTAAAACTCAGTTTATAAGGATTGTCTTACTTCAGGCTCCCAACTTCTGAGTAGATGCTCACAGGTGAAAGAAGCCAGGCATAAGGAGACTGACATGACTGGAGTCACACGCCTAGGAGGTAGTGAAGCCAGGACTTAAAACTATTTTAATGTCCAGATGCCATATATCTTCCTGCCTCTGTTAGTGGAAACAACATAAGTGAGGATAAAATATGTCTTAGTGATTTGTTGCTTTCAAATATAACATGGGTGGATAATGGAAACAACTACTGAGTGATTTTTCATTCTGGCTCTGTTCCTGTGAGCTTGAAATATCAGCGTTTTAGAGAAAGTACATTGTGGTTGGAAGAGTTACACAGTGAAGTTTCTTTTTGAATTTTCACCTCAACTTGGTATATTGTGAGATAACCCAGTGATAATGATTTACATTTGAATTTATTTTAATGAATCGATTGGTTAAAATGTATTTCAAGATACATAGTGTAGTGGGGGGCCACGGAGAAGGCAGTATATAGCACAGAGAAGACAAGTAGTGATTCTATAGCATCTTACTACACTGATGGACAGTGACTGTAATGGGGTATGTGGTGGGGACTTGATAATGGGAGTCTAGTAAGCACAGTGTTGCTCATGTAATTGTATATTAATGATACCAAAATAAAAGATACATATATTTCAAGGACATAAAATGTTTATCAGTAATAATTTACAGTGGTGAGATCATAAATAGTCTGATTGTCACTTACGTTTAATACTAAGACCTTGAGATTGCCTTGTTCTCTCTTAGTCTTAACATCCTTCAAAATACATCTCAAGTTTCATCCCTTCCCATAAGCCTTCCTTGCCTCTTCTATTTCCTCTACTCCTGTGTATTCATTAGGTAATTCATAGCCCATGTATGTATCTCCAGTATCCCTCTAGCATAGCACTAGAGTTAGTGCTGAAATGATTCAGAGTTTGGGGATACAAAGTCATGTAAAGCATGCTTGGTGTAAATTCTGTATATTACCTCCTATAATATAGAGAAACAACATGTAGTGGAAAGAGTGCTGGCTTTAGACTGAGCCAAACAGTGAGAATCATTCCTAGTTCATATCTTTTATTTTGTTAACCAAGGAAGTTTATCTTATTTCTTCCTCTGTTGGAATGTTAAGTGACATTTCATGCTCACAAACCCTGCAAAGTAGGCACTATTGCCCACTTTGTGGTTAAACTGAATTTCAGAGGAGGATGAAATATTTTCCCTCTTCTTGTAGCAGACAACGCAGGTACTGTGACAGTGAGACGAAACATGAAAAAACCAATGTTGCAGTTGGAGAGCAGAGTTGAGGTCTTCTTCTCTGGACTATAGCTTTACTTATAACCAGGAAAGGTCTTAATTTTAAATGGGAAGTGTAAGTACAGAAAGTCTCTCTACATTTTTGAAACATGCCGGTGACCTCCACCTCCCTCATTTTGCAAGTAAAAATAAACTTATGTGCAAAGATGCTGATTTACCTGAATACATACATATATACTTGGATTATTTGATTAAATAAGCCAAATATCTACTGGCCACTGGTGCTAAGAGGCAAGTGATGAGTTCTTAACATAGAAACACAAAGAAATCCTGGCTTCTGGGCTTCAAATTAAACCAAGATAACTTGCATTGGTACCTTACCACTGCTGCCTTAGAGTAAACAACAAAGGTTGTGTTTATGTGCTAATAACTCCAAAAGAAAATGTTACTATTTCTGTCTGTTAGTGGAAATCTTTTAAATCACCTGTGGTAACTTACCTTGGGTAAATGGTGTGTGTGTTGGCACATTCACATAAAGGCTTACATTTATCTCTACATTTCCATCTTTTCCATTTTAAATGATGATAGTGCTACACACAACAAATTCACAGGTAGAAGCTAGAGGTAAAATGCTGACCTGACCCACATTTATAGCTGATAAAATGCTCATCCACTTCTCCAGTACTGTATAATTTTTATCACAATTAGGTCAGGAATGTCATTTCTGGCTTTTCTCCCACCTCCAGAAAGAGAAACCACTTCAGTTTTCTTTAAAAGCAGTAGGTATTAAAACAAGTAAAATTGTTACTTTTTGGAGTTTTAAAAAACTTAGACTTGGTATCTAATTCTTATTTTAAAGTGAACTTTGGTTAAACTGGAAGAATTAATATGTCAATAGAAATTCATCTCCCACATAGGAGGTAGTCAACATTTGATGCTCCCAGACAATATTATGCATAAAGAAGGCCCTTAATCAACAAATTGGTTA